GCTAGCGAAAAATTTTTACATGGAAATTGTAGATCTCGTCGTCCTCTACAAGAAAGGTCTAATGCAATTTTCCCGTATGTCCAACGGTTTGGGAGTTATTGGCCAAAAACGAAAATTTGGAAGAAATTGAAGGGGTACCCCTTGGAAAAATCTCGGAAAAATCGAAAATTTTTTTTTGTTGTTTATTATTAGCAATGTTCTTCCGACGTCTGATTTCTTTTTAAAAAATGCGTTTCTAAAGTGCATAAACTTTTGGGATGGACTGTATAGCCAATACATCCTTAATGGAATTTCTCCATTTACTCTCGCAGCCCTGAGCGTGACTCGATACCGATTAAACGATGAGTAAGTTAACGATGATGCGTTACTAGAAAAATTGTGTCTCCAGAAAATACGGAGAATGCTCGCCGCTTATAGAAATGTACAAAATGCTACGAAGTGCATACAACAACGCTTAAACGACGGTAGAATTTCATTTGTCCACTGAACGTGACAAATGTTTTATTGTACATAAAAATCCGACAAGAAAAAGGGTAACACGAGTGTCGAATTGGAATCAGTAGGAGTCTATGGGGGTGGCGGGATAAAAGAATGCACGCGAGTAAGATAAGAAACGGGAGAAAAGTTTGGAGGGAGCGAGCGAGCAGGTACGGGCTACGCATGTCAACTGGAGGGCATTCAACTATCGATCGCATAATTTCAGCCACCCTCTTCTTACCCGTATCCGTCCATCTCTCCCCTCGCCCTCCGTTACTTCTTCCACTATTTTTTCCTTTTCCACGATTTATCACGGCGCGGTTACCGAGTCCTAGGCAGCAATGTTAAACGAAACTCTGGTCCCGAGGTTTTTCGAACGTATTTTTCCCCACGCGCATGTCGGTCACAGCTTCGGGCGACAGATATTCATTCACGAGGATCCATTCATTTGGTCCTCGTTGCTGGTCGAAAGGAGGTCCTGGTCCCAGAGAAGATCATAGCCAAGTAGCTTGTTCGGTTGTGAATCGCGGGTGCACGCAGGACCGGGTGGAAATTATGTATTACGTCGACGAGGAGCGTGCGTGAACGGAGACAGAGAGAGGGACAAACCGGAAAGAGAGAGTGGGGACCCCGGACGGAATCAGCGCCCGGAGAGAGGGTCGTGGAAACGCTTATGCGGGCCAGCTGATCGACGCACGTGTACGCGTGGCGTATACTACGTTCACGTATGCATGTATACGCCACGTTTGTTTCGAGTCTCCCGGGGTTAGCCCGATATCGGTTCTCCCCCCTAGATCACCCGCATCGCCCCCCCGACCGAGTTCCTGTCCACGGCACCCGAATTCGAGCCGTGAATCGACGTTAAGGTCGAACCAGGCTCCTCGGTTTACCGATTGCCTCACGAAGACGGGAATAGAATCGCAGCCGGCTCGCGTTCCATGGATAACGAGCTTTTTCTATTTTCCAACCCGTGCCTAGCCTCCCTAACGCGCCGACGAGAACTGTTCGTGAAGCGAAGTACACGGGAGGTGAATAACGTTTGCATAGAAAATTAACGATCGCAGAGATGAGAAGGCGTAATCGATAGGAATCGGTCGACGTTCATTTATAGGCATAGGGGTGAATTTAGAAATGCGAGGGGGCAGGGTGGAAAAGGTAGAACGCACGTGGCCACGTCCCGTTCGTATGTAAATTCGACGTTCGGGTATCACCTGCATTCTTTCGAGACACCCGCTTTCACAGGCATTTGATCGAATAAAAATACTCAGCCGATCTCGTTTCGTACCTCGCCGTCCAAAGTCGTCGGTTGCGTCGCGCACGGATCATGCATTGTTCATGTGTAACGGAGCTAAATGGGTTAATATGCACATCCGTATCGTGGTTCGCGTTATGTCACCGATGCTAGTCTTAATTGAAAAGGCAGGAGCTCTACCGGGTGACCCGGGGCCGACGTAGGTATCTATGGGGTCTCACGAAAACGTCTTTGATCGCGTTTCGTCTAAAGAGGTGGGAGAGAAATAAGGTCACTTTCGGTCGTCCGTACGATCCGAGGCCAAAGTAGTCCGCCTGAAATCGTTATCTAACACTTTCACCGAGTAAACGCCGGGACGACAACCGTTTCAGATGCTTCGTTCTAGAATCTAACCGTCTGTACTTATGTAAATTTCAATTCCGTACGCGTCCGACAGACGGGACGCGAGCGTATCGTTAGGTTTCTAATATTTCCTTTATGTCTCTGATCGAACGGTAAAAGTCGATACTTCTCTCAGATCCCGAGTGGCAGTTTGATCCGACGTTGAAACGGTGCGACGTGCAGTCGACGTGCAGTTATTGTTTGTCGAGTAAGAAAAGGAGGCGCGTTAGACGAGGTTGTTAGTCGATTAGGCAGACCGCGCGGCGGAAATATCCAGTGGATCTCGTATGAAAAGCTACGTGGATCTGCTCCGCGTTTGATTTCACGCGCGTTTCGTCCCGCGAAACCGGTTTCCTGCGTGGACGAACGTTAGTTTTCGGCTTCTAACGCTCGGCGGAACTGAAATTCGTCGATCGTACAAACGAGCTGCGAGTTTTCAACCCTCGAGCGACGAAGGAGAAAGTGGTTAGAAATTTTATGGAGACGACAGCGGCGTCGTTTGGCAAAAAGTCAAATCGACGTGGAAAAGTACCGCGGGACACGCATTTTGTTTTCGAGATACAGGGTGAGTCAATGAGACGCGTCACACGCTCGTTCAATGATTTTATCGAAACAAACTGATTACATTTTAAGTCGATCTGTCTTCGTGTTTTAATATAATCAACGATTATTTATTATTGACTCGCCATACGTTTAGAATCGTTTTCAGTCGATTTGAAAAGTATACGAATACTCGTGCACAGGTAGCTCTATGCGTATAAGTATTTTTGATTGGAACCGGTCAGGTTGCACAACTCGCGTTAGCACGGTGGGCACGCGCGGTTATTCAACGGCTTAGTACGCGAGACTTGTCTTGCCTCTGTGTCGTAATTAACGTCCGCGTCATTAGTTGTCCAGTTCTCGCGCTTAAATAACCAACGGCAGTAAATTATTACTTGTTTGAACAACCTTGAATCGAAAGGTCGAGCCGCGGAGTCTGGCTCCGATAGGCGTGGAGCCGTCGAGTCTATCCGTATCACGGAAACAGAGCTAATTCAGGATTCCATTGAATAGTCGAATCGCCACGCCGATCGTCGGAACGCTGATGCCTAAAGAACCGTCTATCCGACGGAGGAGAATATCCGTCGTCCCGAGCAGGTTTTATTTTAGTTTAGGAGTCGATTTCCTCGTTCGGTTCGCGGTTCGCGGTTACGAACGGTGAGCCAGGTAAGACTTTTTTCGAATTGCGAAACCGCGTTTGACCCACATGTCCAGCAACGGGCTTTCGTGTTGCTACTTACAACACTGTGCAACGTGATCCCGAGAACCGCACGCGAGCGGTTTCTTTTTCTTTCGTTTTATCTTCGCCTTTACATCCTTGCGATAGGATATCGCATCGCTACCGACTCCCTAAGCGTTCAACAATAAGCTTTCGACGCTCGGACACGGATCATCTTGTACGAGTATATTTTCTTTAGATAGAGACGCACGGAGCTAGCAATAAAGACGATAGGCAGACTACTGGTTCTATAAAATAAGGACGCCTCCTCAAGAATTAAAAAGTAAACCCACATTGCGGCATTGAAACGAACAGAGAAATATTTAGATTGAATAAAAATTGATTGATGGAATTTTTTATTGTAAGGGGGAAATGTAAGTGGGGTTGTTCGAGTAAAAAGTACACTTCTAACCGAAACGTGTATTTTTTCTCTGTTTCAGGATACATGAATTGCAATACCAGCACGTTGCAATCGCTCGCGCAACTACACGGTGAGTGAAAACTCTCTGGTAGTCAGTTTCTTTTTCGTTTCGCTCGTATCTTCGCTTCTAGATTCGCCGAGAGGGGGGCCACGCTCAATTAAAATTTCCCCAAGCTTTTGCAACGCGTCCGCAACGGTCTCGTGCGTATGGCAATCGAGGGAACCGAGGCTTCCTCTTTACCGTAATCGGCGGCGAAAGATTTTTCCTCCCCCTTCGTCGCGCCGTTTGATGGAGATTTCGAAACTCGACGAAGAAGGGGGAACACGCGTAAGTCAACGTTGCCCCAAGTTTACCAATCGTTTTTCCGATCGACCGTCGAAAAAGATCAGAATTAATTCACGTTTGACCCGACGGGGAGTCGAACACGTGTCGCGTTTCGTATTCCATTGATCCCACTCTCCTTTGAAGAGGCGTAGGTAAGCGATAGATATGCACCAACTGCTCGGGAGGTCAAGGCAGTCGCGTTGCATATTCAACGGATGCAGTTACGTACACGGACCACAGCTACGGAAACAATAAGCGCGTTAATTAGCCGCTTTACAAGCCGAAATCTATTAGAGGGACTATTCTTCTCTTCACACAAATTTCCCTACGACGTTCATTAGATTCGTACCGTTCCTGATTCGAAATTGAAACCTCACGCACGATACAGACTAAAAATAAGTGAACCGAATTCCAATGTATATGAAACAAATGAAATATCGTCGCATCGTATTAAAAATTGTTCGACTAGGGTAGTAAATTCGTTGAACAGGTTTTTGCAGTCACGAAACGCTAATCGTCGCTACATATAAACGCATCGGAGCCAAGGTGTAAGATTTTCCTTGTCCCACATTCCTAGCATCCTTGGCAAAGTTTCGCGTCGTTGACGTTCTCAGTTTAACAGGAGAAACCTGCTCGCTCGATTGCTCGACGAAATTTCATCTCTCGCGTTTCCCTCTTCGTTTTCAAAACCGGAATCGGTGCATACTTTCTTAAAGATAGCCGCGTTTCGATTAAAACTAAAAGGAAGTTGGTCCGTCTACGGAGTGGGACCACGTACAGTACTTCGTTACTCGCGATCGAAGAGCCGAGGCGTCGCGAAACGTCGGAGGAAGAAGAGAGGAGAATAAAAAGAGTTACCAGGGGGACCTGTTTCCAAGACCTGCCTTAACGCGTTACGAGAGACGCGTCCCGTATCGAGAACACTTTCGCGTTCGACGTCGATGCAAAAACCGGGATCGCTCGAACGGAGCAGCGAGGAGCGTTGGAAGATTCGTGAAGTTATATTCGATCGCGTTGCCGCCGAGTGTGAAATGTAGTTTCCAACCGTGTTTTTCTCAATCACGGTCGTTTCGTTCCGAGGTGTAGGTTTCTGGAAACATGCCGAGAGACGTTCCACGGTTTCGCTTGCATAAGACCTCTGAAAGGTCAAGAGTGCAACAGGTTACGCGTTCCCTTCCTTTGTTAGATTCGACGCAGTTTAATTCACGTTCGATTACGCGTGTCGGGCCTGTTGGAAACGTCGCGTTCCTTCGACGTGCCTGCCGTATGATCGATCGAGAGCCATCGTTCGCGGAGGAGATACGAGCAATCGCGGACTCGACGATCGGCGTTCGCTTAGTCAACATGGAACTTTCTCCGTTCCGAGGGTTAGGATCGTTGTCCAAGGGGTTGACGAACGGAGGACGCAGAGAGAGGCGGGTAACGACGAAGAAAGGCGGCAGAGTCGCGGGGAGCAGGCGGGGAGACGGGAACTCGTCGAGGTCGACGGAATGAGGACGCAAGAGAGCCTGTCGCGGAGTCGACTGCTCTTGAGACACGCGCTCGTTAATTCGCAGAATTTTCTAAGTCGTTAATAAGCTCATAATTACGAATTTTTATAAGTTGCGCTCGCAAACGGGAACCCGGGGGGCCGTGGGGAGCGGAGCGAGGGGCGGGCTAGACGGTCGGCAGACCGCGAAAAGAGAGCCGGCGAAAAGCACTCGCACCCCTGGCTGCAGTTTTAATTGCACCTCTCTCTCTCTCTCCGATTACCATTATCGTTGCTGAGGTGAACGAGGTTCGTCCTCGCGATTAACCGATCGCTCGATGCACAGACAATCCGTTATGTAATACCTACGGCAGTAAAGATTTACGACAGGTATCTGGTTTATGGGTCGTTCGAAAAATGTTTATGCTCAGAATCATTCCGATATAATTACGGACTCTCGGTTTCTTTGGAATGCTCTCGGAGATCGCGGTCGAGTCACATACACTGATCTCGCTTGGAGTCGAATTTTCAGTAGCCGCACGGTGGAACAGGAAGGACGTTATGATGAAAGAATGGCCTCGTCCATGAGACATTCATTAAATTCTGCCAACAATGGTCAATTATTCTGATAAATTCTCCTCCTCCTACGTAACCGACTTTTCCTCTTTCATAGCCGATACTTTCTGCGATGCAGAACGCGTTTTACGAGACCGTTATCGTAATGGGAAATCGTGCCGGCACACGGCAGCCATGTTTATCGCGGTGTTAGCACGCGACCCGTAAAAACTCGCGTGACCGTTCGTTTGGTTTTCGAAACAGCCGTTCGAAAGATCTGCCTGGAAAAATGCTCGGGGTCGATCCATAAAATATCCCGTGTAATTTGCCCTGCTGTTAGTCGAAATCGCGTCGCGTGATCCACGTGCTCCGATGGGAAACCACGATGCATCGACGCGAGGCGTCGTTGCCGCGCAGCGCCGCGTCGGGAAACCACGAGGAGGCGAGCCAGCGCAAGGGGAGTCACTGGGTGCCAATGGGGGTGGCCCGAGGTGCAGGCGGAGAAAGGTGGCGGCTAGAAAAGGTCGTTCACCCCATTCTGCTTCCGCGCGCGACCATTTCTTTTCCCCGTGAATGCGGGCTCTTTCGCAAGTCCGCACCACCGCGGTTTGTTTCACGCGATTACCGCGGAGTAATCGATTTGTTCGTCGATACCTATGCCGCTTGGATAAAAGACAGAACGAGTAATAAACGTGGCGCTGAAAACGTAAATCGATTCCTCGCCGTCTCCAGTCGGGAAACGATTATTTTTCATTATTCTTTTCTCAGCTAAAAAGAACTAAGGCTAAAAAGCAACCTCGAACGTGGAATCTCGGCGGGGATGAAGTTTCGTTAAAATAGCCACGAACGATGAGTATCGGCGTGATGCGTCCAAGGCAGGGGTAACGAATAGAAGGAAGACGATAGGGCGGAAAGGGGGTTGCGCTACCTGTAATATTGATCCGTAGAAGCACGCAGCGCTCCGGTGACATGCGTTAGAGGGATGTTCCCCGTAACTGTCGCCAACCACCGAAACGAAAATCTGAGAACCACATAATTTTTTCTCTCTGTATTTCTACATTGTCCCTCGTATTCTTTGATCTCTACTGATACGGAGAAACCGTTGAAAAATCACCGTCCTGCGTCTTTCTCTTTAATTTATTTCGCGTTCTAACGGAAACTGGGAGCAGACGATGGAATCTGTAATTATGTTTGAGGAAGAGTAATGAAATTGGTCGTTCTTCGCGCTTTGCGGTGATTGATTAGAAATCTCGGGGGCCGGGAGCGTCCGGGTCCCGAAGCTGGCTCGAGTAATCGATACTGCCGCGAAAACAGGGAAAATCGAAGAGAGATGGACAGAGCGCCGAGAGGAGCCAACGAGGCGATCGTTTAACGAGGTCTCGTTTGAATTTTTGGAGCCGCATGTACATATGTACGTGCATACGCGAATGTTAAAAACTGGCACGCGAAACAGATGAACGACGATCGATGAAGCTCGACTGTTCCGCTCGGTCGCGCGTACGCTCTGTTCGCTTTCTGTTTTCCCTTAACGACAACGAGAAACAAACCGGGTCACGTTCACAAGATTTCCCAGTTTTTTTTCATCGCTGTTCGTTGTCGAAAAAGATTCGCCGCCGGAGATGGCGACGTTCATTAGAAGAGCGAGATTCCCGATCCGCAGGAGATACAGTGAGTCTCTTCCTTTTAGTTCTCATCGTATTTTGTAATTGCCTTTTAAATATCGCCCGGCTCGATTTCTCTTTACAAACGTTTTCTCTTTTCGTCGAATCGATTCGCGATCGTTCTAGGATTCACTATAATGCCCGTGTATTCGACGTTTATAATCAAATCCGGTATTCGTATTCTCACATCTTCCGATGCGATGTGTTATTGATCCGTCAATTTCGGGACAAGACGCTCGATAGACCGACAGGTTATATGAAAGCCGTGGCCCACTCTTTCGGTGTCTAAGAACGAAACGAGCGGGGGGAAGATGGGTTCAGAGGAGCGGAGAAGAATACGCGCGACGATCTCTGTTGCAGGCAAATCGCCGTTCTTCCCGAGTTTGGAGGACCAGAGCGGCACGCTGCTGGAGGATCCTAACTCGGCGAATCAGCTGGATGGCGTCGGGGTCGGTGTCGGCGTCGGCGTCGGCGTTGGCGTCGGCGTAGGCGTTGGAGTCGGAGTAGGCGTCGGAAGCGGTATCACCGGGTCCCAAACGGCGCCGCTTTCGTCTCCGAGTCGAAGCAGTCCTCACAGTCAGGGCAGCGAGACCGGGGAACGATTCTCCAGAAAAGTATTCGTCGGTGGCCTGCCACCGGACATCGACGAAGGTAAATTCTCTTTCGCACGTCGATCGTTGGTGGGGAACAAAAAAAAAAAAAAACGAGAGAACGCGTTTATGAATTTGCGATTGTCGTGCTTCAGAGGAAATCAAAGCCAGTTTCCGTCGTTTCGGATCGCTGGTCGTCGATTGGCCCCACAAAGCGGAGAGTAAATCCTACTTTCCACCGAAGGGCTACGCTTTCCTGCTTTTCCAGGTAATCTAGAAATAAACAGCGTCGAGCCTGGCTCGCTCGGTGATCGTAACGGTCTCGGTAACGCGTCTTGAATTTTCGTTGGACCTAGGACGAAGCGTCCGTGCAGCAGCTGATCGACGCGTGTATCCAGGACGAGGAGAAGCTGTATCTGTGCGTGAGCTCGCCCACGACCAAGGACAAGCCCGTGCAGATCCGGCCGTGGCGATTGAGCGACGCCGATTTCGTGCTCGACGCCTCGATGCCGCTGGACCCGCGGAAGACGGTGTTCGTCGGCGGCGTGCCGCGGCCGTTGAAGGCCGTCGAGCTCGCGATGATCATGGACCGACTTTACGGGGGCGTGTGCTACGCCGGCATCGACACCGACCCCGAGCTCAAGTATCCCAAAGGAGCCGGTAGGGTCGCTTTCAGCAATCAACAGAGCTACATAGCTGCCATATCGGCCAGATTCGTTCAACTGCAGCACGGTGACATAGACAAGAGAGTAAGTGGACGAATCTTTCTTACCGCGTTTCTGGACACCGCCAGAGCGGTTTCACCGATCAACTCGCGAACGCTCACGTGATCGTTTCGTTTCGCTCGAACAGGTCGAAGTGAAACCGTACGTCCTGGACGATCAGATGTGTGACGAGTGTCAGGGACAACGTTGCGGAGGCAAATTTGCGCCGTTCTTCTGCGCGAACGTCACCTGCCTACAGGTAAATTCCGTCCCTAGTCGAACCGGTCCAGATGCACGCTGGACAAAAAACAGCGACACCGGGAAACGCGCATTTTCTTCTTTTTTTTTCCAGTACTATTGCGAGCACTGCTGGGCGACGATTCACTCGCGGCCTGGTCGGGAGTTCCACAAGCCGTTGGTGAAGGAGGGTGCGGATCGACCTCGAGCCGTGCCTTACCGCTGGTGTTAACCCCAGCTGTGTTCTCCCTAATTATCTCGCAACCCTAGCTAATTAACTACCACTTCTACGTACCACCCCCTCCCCCATACGTGAATCTTCTGCCGCCCACCCTCCCCAGCCACTCGTTCAAAGTCCCCGTCCCGCTCCCCTTCCCGACACTGACACAAACACATATACACACACACACACACGCCACACGCACATACATGCGTACACTCTCCGTCTCACCTTTTGCTCATGTATTCTTATATACCCGCCTGGAGACACAGTCCCCGAGAGCAATCTCTATTACCGCTGCTACCCACTCGATCGTCGGTACTCCCGCTATTATCCACGCATCACTATCGCTATTATCGCTACTACTATTACCGCTCCTATCGTGAACCACTACGATTTTACTATTCCACTACGAAGTTACTTTGTACTATTCTGCTACCCACTGCTACGCGGAACGCATTTCGCTCGGCGAATCCAACCAAACAACCAACCAACCGATCAACCAAGTTGCCATCGTCGCCGCTACCGCCGTCTTCTGCCAGCTGTCCGCGTCTCGACGCGTTGATTCTTCGATTCCCATCGTGCAAACAGAGAAGATCCGGATTCCGCGCGACGTTCGTCGAAGGGTAGAGGGCGAAGAAGAAGAAGAAGAAGAAGAAGAAGAAGAAGAAGAAGAAGAAGAAGGAGCAACGAATCGACGCGCGTCTTTCGCGAAGCCTTTCGTCCGACAGAGCGAGATGGAGCATGCGTTAGTTACCGATATCGATATACATACATATACATATATATATATGCATATACGTATATATACACGCGACCGTACTCGCGATTCGAAGGTTCTCTCGATCCAGTCGTCGACCGATTGGAGAATTCGATTCGTGATCCGGACCGTCTCTTCCGCGCAGTGAGTGTCGAAGCCAGAAGGAAGATTCGTTCGACGGGAGAGTTCGACCTCTTCTCTCCTTGCCCGTTCGCTCGTTCCTTTTCTCGCGGAACGCCGATCGATCGTGCGTCGAGGAGCGAGGAACCGGCCGCGGACGCGATATTTCCTTCTTCCGCCCGCGCTCGCGTCGTCCCGTTCCGGGGGACGAGGAACACGGTTGTGTGCGTGCCCTCTCTTTCGTCGATTGTTTCGCGCACCCTCGAGATCGATCGGGACAGGAAGTCGAGCTCCTCGACGGAAGAACGCGAGCAAAACTCCGGCCGGGGAGGTGTACGAAAGAAAACGGGAGAGCGTGAACCTATGCTAATCGAAGAAACGGTAAGAAGTTTTCTAGCGAGTACCTGATTCGACGTGGAAGTGCGCGGGGATTACCGAGCTTGCGGGAGGAGGGAGAGGAAGAGAGGCGAGAGAGTGCGAGAGAGAGAGAGAGAGAGAGAGAGAGAGAGAGAGAGAGTGAGAGTGAGAGAGAGAGATTGAGGATGCTTGGGGAATGGTTCCGAAGAGGAGCGAATGAGGAAGAAGGGGCGAGAGAGCTGGTGGTACGAAAGCGGAAGAATGTTTGAAGTAAGTAACACAGTTTTGAGTAATCGTACGCGTTTTGAGTGTTGAATAGATAATGAAAAAGAAAACATCCACGCTTCGAACTGCTGTGTATCAGTTAATTCTCTGTATCACACACAGTCTCTAGTATCTAAGAACTTATTGAATATGTTACATAGGTGCGTTATCTATAAAAAAAATATATATATATATATCTATAAATATGCGTTTCTCACGTAGAACAACGCGATTCGCGATCGTAGATAAACTATTTGGATGAGGGGAACGTTTTTTTACTATATACATATAATTAACTTATCCAAGTACGATGCTAGTAGAGGAAAATTTCGTATAAAGAGTCAGAGAAACGAGAAGGGGGGAAAGCTGCGAGTCGGGAAACGTGTGAACGATGCAAGCTTGAGGACAGTAGAAGTCGTTCAGAGAGAGGGGACACGTTTGAAATACGGTCGAAACGTAACGGAGCGCGGTCGTATACCAGATTCTCGAGAGATTTTTTTCTCAAAATCATCGGAGGGGAACAAAAACGAAGTCACCGAGATAAGAGAGTACAAAAAGACGCGGCCGGGATACGATGATCGATGAACGGATTTGAACGCGCGTCTCTCTAACGGATATAACGTTAAATAATTATCGGAAGCTCCAACCTAGCTAATTACCGTTTATATATGTACGTCCGAGGCGAGAAGATCGAGATAGAACGCAGAAGCAGGTGTAGGATATAAATCGCATGAACTTATTCTGTGTACAAGCCCCGAACCTTACTCGTAATACGATTAAAACTACTGTCGTGTCTCTTCGCAAATCGTAAACGAATCTTCTTTGCTCGATGTATATAATCAAATCGCAACGATGCAAGGCGCAGTCGAAACGACGAGAATGTTTGTCTGATCCGTGTGAGAACGCGTTTCTCTTCAGTCTCTCTGTCCTCCGACGGGAGAGACAAAATGGAGGGAGGTTCTTCTCGACGACAGTTCCGGGGGTGTCGTTCTCGTTTCGCGTCTCCGCTTTTCTCGCGATCGGCGACACCCGCTCATCGGCTCGCAGGGGAGAAGGGAGCAGGGTGAAGGGTCGAACGGAAACGGCACGCGCGAAATATCGGTACGCGACGTTATGTGTTCCGCTTAATAGATAGACGTTTTATACGTAGCAGCACCGTCAGTTGAAAAAAAAAAAGAGAACCGTAAGCTCGTAGATTTAACCTCGCACGACGAGTATTTTTAAGGGAGGCACGTTACGCGAGGAAAGACAAGACAAGATACACATTGATCGACACACATTGTACACACGCATTACGAATACTTGGTATAAATTTAGTCAGGACCGAGGACGGATCGGTGGACGGAGTCGGTCGACCGATCCGTGCCTCGCCCCCACCCGTACATCTAGTAACGATGATCGAATGAAACAAAAAAGTAATCTCCACATATACATATATATTTACATATAATACATATATATATTTATTTTTTTGGTACTCTTTTTGTATATATGTACTTGTCGCCATAGAGTTAGGTGACGTCTAGGCACCGAACGAGCTACGAGATATCCGCGTGAGAGAGAGAGAGAGAGAGAGAGAGAGAGAGAGAGAGAGAGAGAGAGAGAGAGTACGGAGCGGGCAACCGGGAACGAGAAGCGCTGTACGAATTAGTAGCGAAACGAGAAACTGGGTGGAAAAATGAGCCGAGTGTCTTTAAATGGTTGCGCATGGCTGAGAGTATGAGGGAATAGATTCTCCATTCTTTTGTTCGTTCGTTTAACATTGTTCGTCCATAGGCTGCAGGTTGAAAGACATAATTTCGTAACGATCGGCACGTGGATCAGATTCAGACGAGATTTAGTTGTACGACGATCGTTGTATCGATTACGATTGAGTAACGAACGTTGATAGGGAGTGTGCGATTGAAAGAGCTCGAACGATCGATTGCGGGCGCGAAAGGGGATGAGAAGCGCGACAGTTTCGCGAAAGGGCAATGGAAGGGAAGAGCATTAGTTAGCGTAATTGATTCGAGGCTCGGAACGGCAGTTCTCGCGGGTTCAGACCCGACGCGCGTCAGAGACGGTTCCCCGATTCCTTCGACGGTCGTTCGATCCCTCGACTCGTCGAACGAACGACCACCGAAATTCCATCTCCAGCGAGAAGTCGTTCCTCGAAGTGAGACCTCGAGTTCGTTCAGCGTCGGTGCCGCTTTCCGTAGAAAATTGTTTTGGAAAGAGGCCGGAGACTTCGGGCGTCGATCGTCGGCGAGACGGACAAAGAAATCTGGGAACCTCGGTCGCGATTACCGCGGTCGTTAGGCGAGAATTTGCATCCTGCAAACGAGGAGGCGACTGGAACACTTGGACAGACGATCTCGTTCGTACGCGGTCGTGCTCTCCCCTGCTAATCGATCGATATAATCGTAGTGAAACTTAACTAGGTACCAATTCACCTAAATCAATTGATTATTAAAAAAAGAATAATAATTAAATAGCGTACGCATGTATACGCAGACCGACGCGCGTACGATCCGCGTGTACATACGTATTATATATCATAGAAAGTAGTATTGTTCCGATACTCGACCGCGAACCGAGTGTTTAGGCGAGACTCGAGATCGAGATTTTTTCTAGACAAATTTTTCTAATTGTTGACGAATGCGATTGGAGTTCTGCGGGTTGATCGCGAAACGTCTCCTCTATCGATACTTACTGACTTACTCGCGTATCAAACGACGAAGTAATACGATTACACCCCTAGACAAAATTCAGCTCGTTTGGCGTCCGTGCGCCACACCCGCGAACGAAGGATCCGCAGAGTCGCGAGAAGTATCGAGACCGCGATTCCTTTTCGGGGCGCGACCCCTAAAGGGATTCGATCTTTGCCGACGGATCGCGGTCGGGCAGCGATCGCCGATCCTTCGCGCTTACACACGTACACGGAGGACACACACGCGACACTTCCTTCTTCTCGTACACACGCATCTGTATATAATATACATACATAGACACACGTGAAACGTATGTGCGTGTTTTTCGTGCGCTGAATAAAGCCGTAGACAATTCTCTTTGAACGTGAACGTTTTAGCTGAATGTTTTTTATCGTCACGAGCCGCGCGTGCACCCGCAATGTCGGCGACGAACGGTGCGAGAGAGTTGTCCGTTGACCGCGAGATCTCCGCGTCGTCCACGACTACTCGTGAATTCACGTATCGATAGGGAAATTGATTTTCGCTTCGCGCTGGAACGAGCTCCGGCGAGCCTCGGAGCCTAGAAAAAAAATTAGGATAAATTTTATTTTACGAATCACCAGAGAGCGGACTCGTTCTCCTCACGCAATCGGTTCGGGATAATTTGGGGAACGCACGCGGATATTAGGAAAATTTGTTGCGCCCGGGTCGCCTCGGTCGTCCGCGCCGGGCGAACCAGTCGCGATCATCAATTTCGACGTTGTCAATGATCGCGCGATCTCCGCGATCAGGTGGCAGACAAGCAGATAACGATACGCGACCGTAGCGAAATTTATACATTAATACGTGCACGGAATCCACATGACGCGCCGATACACAGTTGCAAAACAGATAAACGATGACGATTGATAATAATAATAACGATAAGAAGCTACACTCGCAACAAAGTAGTTATCGTTTCAAATTGCTCGTATCACAAAAAGTAACGGCAACGGCAACAAGAACAGCAAAAAGAAATAATAATAATAAACAGTATGTTAGGTATGATGATTCTTCACCTCCTTTGTAATATGTGTGATAAAGCATAATATATGATATAATGACAATTATATAGATAGATATACATATATATATATATATATATATTACAGGATGTTATATATATGTATATGATAAAATACTAATATATATATATATATAATTGATAATAACGATCGAAATATCTAATATATTCTGACAGACTTGAGAGAAGTGTAAAAGGACGTAACTGTGAGAGTCGACCGCGCGACGCGACGGAACGTAAGTAAAAATGGATATTCGCACGGGGGGGGGGAGAGCACCGTCGGTCGCGCGGTTCGAGGGCGAGAACGATTCTCGAAGTATAGTAACGAAACCATAGGAAGATAGAGCGTGGATAAACAAAATTTCGGGGGAACGAGTAATAATGGTAGTCATTTATGATAGATTTGTATTTTTCAGTGTTGAAAAGTTTTTTATACCGCTGTTATATTCTTGTCTAAATATCTTAGTTCAGAGAGAAAAGTGCGAGAGACGACATGGATCGCGTCTTAGCTTGCATGAAAACCTAGATGTATTCGAGAGCGCCGTGAGTGGGTGAATAATCAGAGAACGAGGGTGAGGGAGCAAGGGAGGGGAACGAAAGAAATCGAGTGAATTAAAATGGGAGAGAATGGCGAACGATGAACGAGAGAGAGAGAGAGAGAAAGAGAGAGAGAAAGAACGTGTGAATGAGAAGAGATGGAGGAACGGATCGAGGAGAGTGCACGAGCGTGGAGTAAAAGCTTTAACGGGGACGAGGTGGAGTTCGCTCGCGAAGACGGGGGAGACGCGAACGATTCTTCGATTACCGAAGTTTCCTCTTCCGGGCGCAGTTAGAAAATCGAGAATCCGCACGATTACTCACGGGAATGGTACCAAGGAGAGACGGAGAGAGATTATTTTTATTGTTATATTGTATAGGGTGTACCGTCGAAGGTCCGCCAAGATGGAACCTCGGTGATTCTTCGCGAGCGGTCCGGCTCCCAAAGATGCACGTGCAATCAATTAACCGAGACATGTAACCGGCGCGAATCGCGCGCCCGAGCAGTGAGAGTTAAAAGAGAGTATACACATCGGAGAAATTAGTCGATGAACTTTGCACGTACGTACGATCGATAGGATATACACGTTAACGGTAGAAAACGGAGATGCATGCCCGCAGTCTGCAATACACGGGTGTACACTCGATTTCGACTCGCACTGTACCTTTAGTCAAGACTCCTGCTCGAATTAAAATGTATCCTATCTTTGCCGCCTCCTTGCTCACCCTCCGGTTTATCACATTTGTCCGCGTGCATACGATTTTTACGAAACTGGATTTTTATTTTTTTAAACTCGTTAATCGTCCCCGTATCATATACATACATACATAAAATACATATACACGTTCGTAGCTCGCGTTCGAACGGAAATTCGAACGGGAAGATATCTCATAGTGTTCGTTAGAGAATAAGTTTTTGTAAATCGAATCTTCTTGTTTGTTCCGTTCTTGCCAGGTTCCCTTTGCTCTTCGCGTGATACGTTTTTTTTAAAAATCGCGTTCCTTTTACCTCGCAGACGCGCACGGTCGAGAGCAACGATGGACCGGCTGGAATGATTCCTGGCCGCGTCGTGTTCTCCGTTTTCCTTTTTCTATTACTTTCTTTACGAAATCTTTGTACGACTACGTGGACGCGAACGAATCTCCGTTGAGTCGTTGCACGGCCTTTTCCAGTTTTGCTCCGCATCGAACACCTTTCTACTCTCTCTCTTTTTCCCTTCGTCCTGTTCCTCGATACGACCGAGCTGTCCTTTCGCTCTTCGTTCCGCGAACTTTGTTTTTCGTTTTTCGTTACATCCGATTATTTTTATTTTTTATCACTATTATTACATTATTATTATCGTTACTACCGCTACTACTACTACTACTACTACTACTATTATAATTA